TCCGGGCCAGGGCGCGCAAGGGCTGGGGAGGAGCGCCGGGGCTTGCCCTGCAGCAAGACGCGTCGTCGCTGGGACGGGAGGAGACGGGGCCCCTGTTTCTGTGGTGCCTTTTTTTTTTTTGACGTTTTAGCCCCGGAAGGGAACGCGGGGGCGAGTTGGGGAATGGGATCCAGCAGGTTTCTGGGATGGCAGCCGGGAACCGACAAGAAGGCGAGGCTCCAACCCAAGGCTGTAGGGGGGTGTGTGTGTGGAAGCCAACAAACGGAAGTTCTCAGGAGTGTGGGCCGAAATTTTATGTTCAGTAACTCCAGAGTTGCCCCTCCATTACTCATCAAGATGGGATACAGGGCTTTAGAGAGACTCCCGAGCTTCAAAGGTCAATGGTCCCCGAATACAGTATTGGCCATAAAGGCCTGACCTTAAAAAAAAAAAGCCAAAGAAGTGGGAAAACGGCTTAATGTGAACCCTTTTAGTTCAGTGTGAAAATGATTGTTTTATATAAAGTGGGACGGGACTAAGGCAGGGAAAACCATAGTGATGGTTCAAGTGTGAGGAATTTCACTGTCCACCCAACACCTGCAAATTCGACAGTTCACCACAGAGAAAAAATATGTAAAACAGATGTGTTCCTGAGGATGTGCAGAGTTTTTCCTTCAAGTTATTTTGAGTAGCCCAAGCAGCAGCCACGCATTCCAGGGTCCCAGACAAGAACACACACTACTATGAAGTGGACTTGATCCATGAAAGCTCAAGTTAAAATATAAAAGTCTTTAACATGCCATGTGACTTTTGACTTTCATTTTGTTTCTTTTGTTCCTTTTTCCCCTTTGGATTTTGCCTGATATGCTTGCAGAGACTAATGCAGCTACGTTTTCTAAAAGTGCTATTACTAAGTCAGCCAAAGACGAGGCCTCCAGTTTTACAGTAAATGCTGCTTGACTTCCAGCATTTTTCATTATAGAAGTTGAGCCTGGCGCTCCCACTCGCCAGCGTCTTCCCAGAAAAAAAAGTCATTTTAAACATCTGTGTGGAGAACTATCAGCCATCATGGCTCTCCAGCACCTCCATCTTTCAAAGGCAGAAGGTCGTTAAGCCAAATATGGGGCTAGGGATGTGGGCTGCATTTGAACTTCCTGGAGTCTTGGTTTTGCCGCTGTGCAAAGCAGAAAGCGGACAGGATGGGGCTTCGGTTTGATTCAGAAGACTTTTCTTATGTTCTTAATACTTCTTTCACCCTAGAATGGGTGAGCATTTTTAGGATTCCAAATTGTAGTTCCCATTATCCCTCACCATTGACTATGAGAATAATAAGCCTAATGGTAGTTGTAGTCATCCCTTCCCCAGCTGCATTCCTTCTGCACTGCCTTGCCACTCCTTTGGCTTCTCTCTCTTCTTTTTAAGTTCAGGAATTTATTATATATATTTGCATGTACCATGTAGTTTGCTTCTCAATATTGTTTCTCTTTATGAAGTCAGTAAGAATACATAAGCTACAGTTCTATATTAGTTTCAGAGGGTTACTACACACGAAGAGGGGACATAGAAACAGTGTACCAAAAATGGCATCTGTAAAAAGTGTTCTGCTTCCTTCTCTGTGCCACATATGAATATTGTTAAAGCAGAACAGAAAGGGGAACAGTGTGGTTTTAAATTGGAATTAACATTTTAAACTTAGGTTTCTGTTCCAGACTGCCCAAAAATATCTGGGAGATTCCAGCATTTTTCTTTGTTCAGTGTGTTCCTTTGCAAAGCAGCTGCAGAGGATCTTTTCTCTAATGAAGCAGTGGGACTGGGAGGTGGGTTTGTTTTTTTTTTTTTTTACCATTTTCCAGATCTACTTTAACCATATGGATACTGTTGTGAGCTGTGCAGCAGGCATAATACAGGCATCTGTTGTTCCCACAGCATACACACTGAGAAGTCATCATAGCTCCTAGCACCACTGGTCACAAGGCATTGTGCAACTATTCCATCTTTCCCTTCATAACACTTTTTTTCTTTTCTTTTTTTCTTTATTTTTTCTTTTTTTGGTGGAAAGGGGAAAAAAGAAATGGTGTAAAAAAGAGGGAAATAGAAATGCAAAGGCTTGGAGAGGAAAATGGAAAAACTCGGCTTTTTTTTCCCTTTTTCTTCCAGTTTTCTTTTCCTGGGTGTGGATGGGGCAAACAGAAGACAAAAATATTTGGACTCTAAATTTCTGTGTTTAAAGCAGGATTCCTAGAAAGGAGTGTCTGTTGCTTGGTGGGATTGAGCCAAGATAGCCAACTCTGAAAAGACTGGTGACAGAGTCACCCCTCAGAAAGATTCTTCCTTTAGTTTGATTGATTTCTCTACTTTGCAATTATGTCTCTCCTTGGAAACATCCCATAATATCAACTGAACTGAGCTTGGTCTCTTTTTTTAATATCAATATCTGGCATTGTGGCCAAGATGAACTGTAACATGAATCAGTTTTGTGTGTCCTTAATCAAAACATTTAGTTTAACTGTTAACAAGTAAACTAATAAAAGTATAGCTCTGAATCCAACAGAATCAGCTGCTATGGTTTAGCAAGGGTTAATCATGCTTGCCCCTGACTTGGCAAAGATCCTTGGTCAAGCAGCATCTCAGAGCAACTGGGTGGTTCAGGCTGAGCTCAGGACACAGGAAATACTGGCGTGCCAAGCTCACGCCCACTCTTCTCTGACTGCGCCAAGGACTCTCTTCCTGATGGCATTCAGGCAATCTCACACGAGGTATGTATTAAGGGAGGGAGAGAGAGAAAGAGAGCACAAACACAAAAGAATTGTGGCACCTTAAAGAGTTACAGATTCCATAGATGTTCACCACTGTTCAACTCTAAAGTGTCACAGTATGTTTGCATTTTATTTTTAGTTTTGTTACATATGGTGAAAAGAAACTAACAACGTATTCTGCATATTTTTTGCATATGGACTGTGCTATATGTGTACACACACAAAGGATGTGAAGGTAAATACACAAACAAACATTGCTTTTTGCTCACATATAGAACAAATGTGAATACTCAAAGGTGTATATATCATGCATATAGATCATAGAATTGTAGAGCAGGAAAGGATCCCGAGGATCATTGAGTCCAGCTCCTTGCTTATGCAGGAAGTCAACACATTAAATCCTCCATGACAGGTGGCCATCCACCCTCTGCTTCAAAATTATGATGATGATGATCATGATGATGATTATCATGATGATGATGAAGATGATGATGGAGAATTTGGAAAAGTTACTCTTTTGGACTACAGTAATGGTGAATTGAGAGGTTATGTATAACAAAAATAGCAACACTTAAAAACTACCAAATTAGTTTCAGTGTGTTTTTGTGGATTACATTCCACTGCCTCAAATGCAAGGATACTGGTTCAATTCTGGGATTTCTTTCTTTCTTTCTTTCTTTCTTTCTTTCTTTCTTTCTTTCTTTCTTTCTTTCTTTCTTTCTTTCTTATCTCAACTTCCCACCCTTTTCCTTTGTGAGACCTAAGGCAGTTCCTGTCACTGGCAATCAAAACATGTAGGCCAATATCTTGTTCAATATTTATGTGCATGGAGCTTAAGCTGTAGAAGCTGCCACAGCACTCTGACAAGGTACAGGTCATGTGCCTGCTCACTGCAAGCAACACCTTGCCATATAAGTATGGGAGTGTCTGTAGCAGGAATTCCACATGTACATGGAAAAATGACATAGAACACTCGACATAATGCAGCTATTCTCTCATTCTTTCTTTAATATATTGCGTATAATATATTAAAGACAATAAGTTGCGGGAAAACATTGGAGACTTAAAAATGGAAAATGAAGATATAACATTCCCTGAATGAAGTGTCCTTGTGTGATAAAATCACTCTGTGGAAGCAAAGATGGTCAGTCTATTTCTGCTGAGATTTAGACTCCCAGGCTTTGGTCCTTTCTGTGGCAGTGTGGGATGATTAGGATGTTTAGCCCAGGAGGCATATGGAGGCCCTAAGATTCCAGAGGGCCCTTGCAAAGTTTTCATCTAGCAGAGCTGGCATGCTGTTGTTCACTCAGGAATCTGACTCAGACAGTTGACACAGCCTCTTCTAAGGGCTTTCTGGACAGGGCAGACCCTGTGACTATGGTGCTGGGGAGTTCTCCATGAGCTGTCCATGGCCCTCTGAATACAGCCCAGTTGTCTTACTTGAAGGCAGCGAGGTGACTTTGGGCGTGCTGCAGGCTGACCAGTTCAATGACTAGTCAGCAGAATATTTTACCATCACAGAGCTAACATGAGGCCCCAGCTTGTGTACATGCCCACAAGGCCATGATGAAGGCAAAGAAGCCAGTCACATCTGGGATGTTAAAGAACTCTGTGTCGCTTTTGCAAATACTTTGATGATACAGTAATTCCCAACACAATGGACACAACTATTGCATCAGGCAGAGCTTGGAAAACTAACTATTTTGGATCACAGCATAAAGCATTCCCCAACTAGCAGGACCACTTGGTGATTGTGGCAGGGGGTTCCTGTGAGCTGTAGTCCAAAAAAGCAACTTCTCCTTTCTTTAAATATTTGACAGAGTCCCAAACGTCATCTGCTCTGTAACTGTTGAACGAACTTCAGTTGCTGGCACAACATGCATAAATTAGACCCCCTGTCCTTCTTGGCTGGTTACATCAAACAGGAGGAGGTTGATGAGCTGGATGCATGAAGTGGTAAATGTTCCTTGAGAAGGATGGTGGTCCACAACCTGCCTTGACTGGAACAGTTATGCA